TACGAAACCCGTACATCTTTCCACAATCGTAGCTGCTTAGTCCGTGCTTATCGAGGGAAAAAAACTTTACGAGGCTTGAAACTTTGCAACCCAAGGCTACTGTTGTCGTAGACAACCTCTCAGCGCTTCGTAGGTCGTAAACTGGCTAATCAATACGAACTATTAAGCCTCCATGACTGAGGAAAGATGTAAAGGTTTCGCACGTGGACAACAAGTAAATGCATGTTGAATCGTGGTCTGGGTTAGACCCCGTAGCAATGGCTATAAGCTGGAGATACAGGAAGGATATGGGAGTAGTATTGGTTTGGCAACATGATCAAGTTGATAAGGTTGATCAGCCTGATCAACCACGCTGTGACTCATACGTCAGGCTGCGAGCAGCCGCGTCCAACAGCCTGGTTGACCAGTCCAGCAACCAGGAGGCCTGGTCGACGACCGGGCCGCGGGGTCGCTAAACCCCGAAATCACCTCAAGGTAAGGTATGACGGTAGACAAGATAAAGAGGTCCCCGGCTAGCACCACATAGACCAATCGTTATCTTGAGGTTATCTTGAGATGATTTCGGGGCTTAGCGTCCCCGCGGCCCGGTCCTCGACCAGGCCTCCTTTTTGTTACACCCCCCCCCCCCCCCAGGAAGCAGCCCGTAGCAGCTGTCTTAACTCCCAGGTACCTATTTACTGCTCCATGTATTTAAAATATATAAATGTTAATATATGAAAGTATATAAAATATAGGAACGGGGATGAGTGGTAATGACAAATATGCAAGCCAGGCAACGCTGCAGCCATTAACTGATGCATGCAATTTACACAGGCAAGATATCAGCAGGAGTGAAGCGCGTATACGCTATCTATCTCTCTCTCCCCCACTCCACTGACGCCAGGGAGCAACGACCATGTCTGATCTGTGTGTGTGTGTGTGTGTGTGTGTGTGTGTGTGTGTGTGTGTGTGTGTGTATACTCACCTAGTTGTGCTTGCGGGGGTTGAGCTCTGGCTCTTTGGTCCCGCCTCTCAACTGTCAGTCAACTGGTGTACAGATCTGTGTGTGTTTACACCCAATTGTGCTTGCTGGGGTTGAAATTCGGGTGGTTGTGGAGGGCGGGAAGATGGATAATTGACAAAGAGCAGAAAGGAATAGCAGAAGATAACGTGAGGATGCCTGAGGATATATGTGAAGACAGGGACATGATGGACGGGATGGGAGATGAATGATGAATCGTGAATAAAGAGAGATGATGATGTAGGAAGAGGGGGAGGAATATATGTGACATAGAACGTAAAGGAGGTATTGCTGAAGCACGAGGGAGAGGGGTTATGAAAGGCTGAAGAAGAGTGATGATTAAGAAGCAAGAGAGAGAGAGAGAAAGATAAACATGAAAAGGAAAAGTTGATAAAGGGGAGGGGGGAGGGGGATTTATCAGAGGAAAGCGCCAAGCTATTACAAGGAAAATACATTTATTTGATGGAGGGAATAGATTAGAGTAAGGACAGGTTATAAAGATGATACACCATCTCTAAATTAGTGGAGAGCCAGCCGTCAGTACGTACGTACACACACACACACACACACACACACACACACACACACACACACACACACACACACACACACACACACACACACACACACACACAGGTAAAACCAGTTGTTGTTGCTGTTTTAGATTCAGCTACTGGGAACAAAAGTTCCAAGTAGCACGGGCTATGGTGATCCCGTAATGGACTTACCTGGCGCAGGAGCGGGGCTGTAAATCTCTGTAAAAACAATAAACCCAGTTATTGCCTGCTGGTAATGTATGCACCTGCTTTCCCAACTGCTTACCTGTATCTGCGTTCTGCGAAATTTAGCTCGAGGGCCCCAGCTCACGTCGATCTAATGTTCTTTAAAGATGTAAATGGAGGAAGCTTCCTTGACATTTTCAAGGGCGTTCCAATTGTTAATCGACTGTACTGAATTGGTTCGTCAATACAGTTCAGGCGATTAACCTTTGCTGGAAAATGTTCAGTTATCGTGCAGTAAAGTTTCGTCTACTTTGCTGAAAGGGTGCAGACATCATACTGTAAAGTTCTTATTTATTTACTTAAATATACAAGAGTAGTTACATTCTTGTACAGCCCTTTTCGGGCAAGTCCTTAATTCTAATTTTCCCAGGAATACGACCCGCCAAACTGTTTAACAACCAGGTACCCATTCACTGCTGGATGAACAGAAGTTTCAGTTAAGGATTGGCGCCCGGTCAATCCTTCCCGGCCAAGATACGAACCCAGGCCAAAGCGCTCGCTAAGCGCCGGCCGAGTCCTCCACCACTGCTCCACGGGGACTATCCGGAAGAGTTAAATCATTATGCTGGACGTTTCTATTCAGGAAAGGTATAAGCCATAGTGCTGAAAAGTTGACTTATTGTGCAGAATGACTCGGCCATCGTGCTGAGAAGGGTTCATTTATCACTTTGAAATTGTTTATGGAGCGTGTTGTATCCTGCTAGGAGGCCTCGATCATCTTACCGTCTTGTATAGCTCAGCCATTGCTTGGCAAGGGACCTAGTTCTGTAAGGGATATCGCCCTGCAAGATATCGTTCTGAAAGGTATCGGCTTCCCCAATGTAAAGCCGGAAGGGCACTGACGTCACCCGTAGCAAATAATACCCAATGAAGGAGTTTCATGAATTCTTGCAACGATTAATTACAATTAAGGGTGGCAATTATGTCACTACAGTGCCACGTAAAATGTATCGATAAATTGCTTTGTGAATAGTAATGGAGATGGAGCGCAAGGAGGGAGGGAGGCAGGCAGGCCAGCAGGCAGGCAGGCAGGCAGGCAGGCAGGCAGGCAGGCCAGCAGGCAGGCAGGCTGGCAGGCAGGCAGGCAGGCAGGCAGGCAGGCAGGCAGGCAGGCAGGCAGGCAGGCCAGCAGGCAGGCAGGCCAGCAGGCCAGCAGGCAGGCAGGCCAGCAGGCCAGCAGGCCAGCAGGCAGGCAGGCCAGCAGGCCAGCAGGCAGGCAGGCCAGCAGGCCAGCAGGCCAGCAGGCAGGCAGGCCAGCAGGCAGGCAGGCAGGCCAGCAGGCAGGCAGGCCAGCAGGCCAGCAGGCCAGCAGGCAGGCAGGCCAGCAGGCAGGCAGGCCAGCAGGCAGGCAGGCCAGCAGGCGGGCTGGCAGGCAGGCAGGCAGGCAGGCGGGCAGGCAGGCGGGCAGGCAGGCAGGCGGGCAGGCAGGCAGGCAGGCCAGCAGGCAGGCAGGCCAGCAGGCAGGCAGGCCAGCAGGCAGGCAGGCCAGCAGGCGGGCAGGCAGGCAGGCAGGCAGGCAGGCAGGCAGGCAGGCAGGCAGGCAGGGCGAGGCACCATATACCACTGGTCTATACCCTTCCCCTGAACCAAAGGGAGAAGGGAGACCACACAAGGGAGAATAAGTAACCATGATAAAATGGGAGTTTGAGACCATAATAGAGGCACCCCATTCATCCCTCTCGCCTAATACGTTGAATTTCATACGGAATCAACCAATCCCTTAAAATGCGAAATATCAGCAAAAAAAAATAATTAAGTCTCCGCAATATTCACGTTTTCTATACTCCTTCTTCAAAAGTTTCAGTGCATTACTTAAAGTTCGTACATTTCCGACTCGGGGAGATACAGAAATACAGTTGCATTTTTGTTGTATTGTGATAGAAGGAAGAAGGAGAGGAATGACATTACCGGGTGGAGGGAGGGAGGTAGATGAAGGAAATGTATATGGATGGCAGATATAGAAGGCGCTAGCCACCTGGTGTGTGGTGTAGTCATGGGTGTTTGCTCATTATTGAAGACTGCATCATGTCCCATTGGCATTTTCTTGTGAAGCGTCGTGAATAATGAATGGAATTAATACTTGATGAACTTTGTCGATTTTACAGGCGGGTCCCTGAAGGCTGGACCCTTCAAGGAAGGTCTTAGGGCATGAAATAATATAAATATATATATATATATATATATATATATATATATATATATATATATATATATATATATATATATATATATATATATATATATATATATATATATATATATTATACCACTTCTGGTGCAATTATAGGAAAATATTAGTGTTCAGTGAGAATCCACAAGATCATAGAATACTCTATTTTCTTCTTGGGCTGGACGGTAGAGTGATGGTCTCGCTTCCTGCAGGTCGGCGTTCAATCCCCGACCGTCCAAGTGGTTGGGCACCATTCCTTCTCCCCTCCCTCCCCCCCTTCCCTTCCCTGTCCCATCCCAAATCTTTATCCTGACACCTTCCCAGTGATATATAGTTGTAATGGCTTGGCGCTTTCTCCCTGATAATTCCCTTCTCTTCCCATAGCCTCGAAGAAGGAAATTAGAGTATTCTATTTTAAGACCTTGTGGACTCTCACTAAACACTTTAATATTTTACTTATTTAATATTTTTTTATTCCTTATTTAATATTTTTTATTTAATATTTTTTACTTATTTAATATTTTTTGTTCCTACCACCCTTATTTTTTTCTTAAATGTTATTTTATTTTATTACATTGCTACAGTTTGCAGAGTGTAAACAGTAGCCACTCTCTCTCTTTCTCTCTCCTTCCTTCCTTCCTTCCTTCCTTCCTTCCTTCCTTCTTTCCTTCCTTCTTTCCTTCCATTTCTCTCTTTTCAGCCCTGCCTTCCTTTCCCTTGCTGACATTCATCTGTTTTAGCGCGTGACCTTGTCCGAAATCTCCCACACCTTGCCCACTGCATGACCCGTGACTCAGCCCTCGGCTTCATAACGGAGTCCTCGTGTTGTGTAGTCACTTCCCGACTCCACATATTTCTTGGCACTGTCTTCATCTTCAATGATATCCCTTCACCCATCATCCTTAAACTTGCCTTCAGTTGGTTATATTTCATTGTGAGCTGTCGTGCACCGCAGGCTGTCGTGCACCATACGTTATCGTGCACGGCAAGCTGTCGTGCACCATATACGTGCGCCTATAGTGACGAGACACTTTTGTTTCTGTTGCAGATTTCTCGTGCGCACTGGTGGCGGACATCCTCCTTCAAGGCACACTCTTCATCACACCCAACTTCTTCGCCTTCTACTCCAAGATCTTCGGACACGTCAGCAGGGTGAGAGACACACTTGGTAGTTGGTGGTTGTGGCGTCCTGATGGTGGTTGTTGTGGCGTCCTGGTGGGTGGTGGTGTGGCGTCCTGATGGTGGTTGTTGTGGCGTCCTGGTGGGTTGTGTTGTGGCGTCCTGGTGGGTGGTGTTGTGGCGTCCTGGTGGTTGTTGTTGTGGCGTCCTGGTGGGTGGTGTTGTGGCGTCCTGGTGGTCGTTGTTGTGGCGTCCTGGTGGGTGGTGTTGTGGCGTCCTGGTGGGTGGTGGTGTGGCGTCCTGGTGGTCGTTGTTGTGGCGTCCTGGTGGGTGGTGTTGTGGCGTCCTGGTGGTCGTTGTTGTGGCGTCCTGGTGGTCGTTGTTGTGGCGTCCTGGTGGGTGGTGTTGTGGCGTCCTGGTGGTCGTTGTTGTGGCGTCCTGGTGGGTGGTGTTGTGGCGTCCTGGTGGGTGGTGTTGTGGCGTCCTGGTGGGTGGTGTTGTGGCGTCCTGGTGGGTGGTGTTGTGGCGTCCTGGTGGTCGTTGTTGTGGCGTCCTGGTGGTTGTTGTTGTGGCGTCCTGGTGGTCGTTGTTGTGGCGTCCTGGTGGGTGGTGGTGTGGCGTCCTGGTGGGTGGTGTTGTGGCGTTCTGGTGGTCGTTGTTGTGGCGTCCTGGTGGGTGGTGGTGTGGCGTCCTGGTGGTCGTTGTTGTGGCGTCCTGGTGGTCGTTGTTGTGGCGTCCTGGTGGTCGTTGTTGTGGCGTCCTGGTGGTCGTTGTTGTGGCGTCCTGGTGAGTGGTGTTGTGGCGTCCTGGTGGTCGTTGTTGTGGCGTCCTGATGGTGGTTGTTGTTGTGGCGTCCTGGTGGGTGGTGTTGTGGCGTCCTGGTGGGTGGTGTTGTGGCGTCCTGGTGGTCGTTGTTGTGGCGTCCTGGTGGTCGTTGTTGTGGCGTCCTGGTGAGTGGTGTTGTGGCGTCCTGGTGGTCGTTGTTGTGGCGTCCTGATGGTGGTTGTTGTTGTGGCGTCCTGGTGGGTGGTGTTGTGGCGTCCTGGTGGGTGGTGGTGTGGCGTCCTGGTGGTCGTTGTTGTGGCGTCCTGGTGGGTGGTGTTGTGGCGTCCTGGTGGTCGTTGTTGTGGCGTCCTGGTGGGTGGTGTTGTGCCGTCCTGGTGGTCGTTGTTGTGGCGTCCTGGTGGGTAGTGTTGTGGCGTCCTGGTGGTCGTTGTTGTGGCGTCCTGGTGGTTGGTGTTGTGGCGTCCTGGTGGTCGTTGTTGTGGCGTCCTGGTGGGTGGTGGTGTGGCGTCCTGGTGGTCGTTGTTGTGGCGTCCTGGTGGGTGGTGGTGTGGCGTCCCAACCCGTTCTCGCACTTGCTTATAGTCAATATCTTGCTTATGAATAAGTGCATATGTGACATACTAATTTATTGTGAATATTTGAGTTTACCTTGAAAAGCTGAATAAAAAACCACAACCTAACCTTCTTAGTATGTTAAGATACTACAATTTGTACTGAACCTATACCTATATTGATATTACAGTTTTATAAATATAATAAAACAAAACTAAAATATTTAAATAAATTGTAAAGTAACTCAGGATATTGTCATTTTGTATAAAATCTCTATTGTTTAATAAAACTGAGAAAAAAAGTTAGTGCCTTGAAAAAAAATATGGCTTGGAATGTCACATATATACTTATTTATATGCGAAATAGTGACTAAACAATAAATCATATATGTGCTGTCTTGTGCGAGAGCAGGTTGGGCGTCCTGGTGGTCGTTGTTGTGGCGTCCTGGTGGGTGGTGGTGTGGCGTCCTGGTGGTCGTTGTTGTGGCGTCCTGGTGGTTGTTGTTGTGGCGTCCTGGTGGTTGTTGTTGTGGCGTCCTGGTGGGTGGTGGTGTGGCGTCCTGGTGGTCGTTGTTGTGGCGTCTTGGTGGGTGGTGGTGTGGCGTCCTGGTGGGTGGTGTTGTGGCGTCCTGGTGGGTGGTGTTGTGGCGTCCTGGTGGGTGGTGTTGTGGCGTCCTGGTGGTCGTTGTTGTGGCGTCCTGGTGGTCGTTGTTGTGGCGTCCTGGTGGGTGGTGTTGTGGCGTCCTGGTGGTCGTTGTTGTGGCGTCCTGGTGGATGTTGTTGTGGCGTCCTGGTGGGTGGTGTTGTGGCGTCCTGGTGGGTGGTGTTGTGGCGTCCTGGTGGGTGGTGTTGTGGCGTCCTGGTGGTCGTTGTTGTGGCGTCCTGGTGGGTGGTGTTGTGGCGTCCTGGTGGTCGTTGTTGTGGCGTCCTGGTGGTCGTTGTTGTGGCGTCCTGGTGGGTGGTGTTGTGGCGTCCTGGTGGGTGGTGTTGTGGCGTCCTGGTGGTCGTTGTTGTGGCGTCCTGGTGGTCGTTGTTGTGGCGTCCTGGTGGGTGGTGTTGTGGCGTCCTGGTGGGTGGTGTTGTGGCGTCCTGGTGGTCGTTGTTGTGGCGTCCTGGTGGGTGGTGTTGTGGCGTCCTGGTGGTCGTTGTTGTGGCGTCCTGGTGGGTGGTGTTGTGGCGTCCTGGTGGTCGTTGTTGTGGCGTCCTGGTGGGTGGTGGTGTGGCGTCCTGGTGGTCGTTGTTGTGGCGTCCTGGTGGGTGGTGTTGTGGCGTCCTGGTGGTCGTTGTTGTGGCGTCCTGGTGGGTGGTGTTGTGGCGTCCTGGTGGTCGTTGTTGTGGCGTCCTGGTGGGTGGTGTTGTGGCGTCCTGGTGGTCGTTGTTGTGGCGTCCTGGTGGGTGGTGGTGTGGCGTCCTGGTGGGTGGTGTTGTGGCGTCCTGGTGGTCGTTGTTGTGGCGTCCTGGTGGTCGTTGTTGTGGCGTCCTGGTGGTCGTTGTTGTGGCGTCCTGGTGGGTGGTGGTGTGGCGTCCTGGTGGTTGTTGTTGTGGCGTCCTGGTGGGTGGTGTTGTGGCGTCCTGGTGGTCGTTGTTGTGGCGTCCTGGTGGGTGGTGTTGTGGCGTCCTGGTGGGTGGTGTTGTGGCGTCCTGGTGGGTGGTGTTGTGGCGTCCTGGTGGGTGGTGTTGTGGCGTCCTGGTGGGTGGTGTTGTGGCGTCCTGGTGGTCGTTGTTGTGGCGTCCTGGTGGGTGGTGGTGTGGCGTCCTGGTGGTCGTTGTTGTGGCGTCCTGGTGGGTGGTGTTGTGGCGTCCTGGTGGTCGTTGTTGTGGCGTCCTGGTGGGTGGTGTTGTGGCGTCCTGGTGGTCGTTGTTGTGGCGTCCTGGTGGGTGGTGTTGTGGCGTCCTGGTGGTCGTTGTTGTGGCGTCCTGGTGGGTGGTGTTGTGGCGTCCTGGTGGTCGTTGTTGTGGCGTCCTGGTGGGTGGTGTTGTGGCGTCCTGGTGGTCGTTGTTGTGGCGTCCTGGTGGGTGGTGTTGTGGCGTCCTGGTGGTCGTTGTTGTGGCGTCCTGGTGGGTGGTGGTGTGGCGTCCTGGTGGTTGTTGTTGTGGCGTCCTGGTGGGTGGTGTTGTGGCGTCCTGGTGGGTGGTGTTGTGGCGTCCTGGTGGTCGTTGTTGTGGCGTCCTGGTGGGTGGTGTTGTGGCGTCCTGGTGGGTGGTGTTGTGGCGTCCTGGTGGTCGTTGTTGTGGCGTCCTGGTGGGTGGTGGTGTGGCGTCCTGGTGGTTGTTGTTTGGCGTCCTGGTGGGTGGTGTTGTGGCGTCCTGGTGGTCGTTGTTGTGGCGTCCTGGTGGTCGTTGTTGTGGCGTCCTGGTGGGTGGTGGTGTGGCGTCCTGGTGGGTGTTGTGGCGTCCTGGTGGGTGGTGTTGTGGCGTCCTGGTGGTCGTTGTTGTGGCGTCCTGGTGGGTGGTGGTGTGGCGTCCTGGTGGGTGGTGTTGTGGCGTCCTGGTGGTCGTTGTTGTGGCGTCCTGGTGGTCGTTGTTGTGGCGTCCTGGTGGGTGGTGTTGTGGCGTCCTGGTGGGTGGTGTTGTGGCGTCCTGGTGGTCGTTGTTGTGGCGTCCTGGTGGGTGGTGGTGTGGCGTCCTGGTGGTTGTTGTTGTGGCGTCCTGGTGGGTGGTGTTGTGGCGTCCTGGTGGGTGGTGTTGTGGCGTCCTGGTGGTCGTTGTTGTGGCGTCCTGGTGGGTGGTGTTGTGGCGTCCTGGTGGTTGTTGTTGTGGCGTCCTGGTGGGTGGTGTTGTGGCGTCCTGGTGGGTGGTGTTGTGGCGTCCTGGTGGTCGTTGTTGTGGCGTCCTGGTGGTTGTTGTTGTGGCGTCCTGGTGGGTGGTGTTGTGGCGTCCTGGTGGGTGGTGTTGTGGCGTCCTGGTGGGTGGTGTTGTGGCGTCCTGGTGGGTGGTGTTGTGGCGTCCTGGTGGGTGGTGGTGTGGCGTCCTGGTGGTTGTTGTTGTGGCGTCCTGGTGGTCGTTGTTGTGGCGTCCTGGTGGGTGGTGTTGTGGCGTCCTGGTGGTCGTTGTTGTGGCGTCCTGGTGGGTGGTGTTGTGGCGTCCTGGTGGTCGTTGTTGTGGCGTCCTGGTGGGTGGTGGTGTGGCGTCCTGGTGGTGGTTGTTGTGGCGTCCTGGTGGGTGGTGTTGTGGCGTCCTGGTGGTTGGTGTTGTGGCGTCCTAGTGGTCGTTGTTGTGGCGTCCTGGTGGGTGGTGTTGTGGCGTCCTGGTGGTCGTTGTTGTGGCGTCCTGGTGGGTGGTGTTGTGGCGTCCTGGTGGGTGGTGTTGTGGCGTCCTGGTGGTCGTTGTTGTGGCGTCCTGGTGGGTGGTGTTGTGGCGTCTTGGTGGGTGGTGGTGTGGCGTCCTGGTGGTCGTTGTTGTGGCGTCCTGGTGGGTGGTGTTGTGGCGTCCTGGTGGTCGTTGTTGTGGCGTCCTGGTGGGTGGTGTTGTAGCGTCCTGGTGGTCGTTGTTGTGGCGTCCTGGTGGGTGGTGTTGTGGCGTCCTGGTGGGTGGTGTTGTGGCGTCCTGGTGGTCGTTGTTGTGGCGTCCTGGTGGTCGTTGTTGTGGCGTCCTGGTGGGTGGTGTTGTGGCGTCCTGGTGGTCGTTGTTTTGGCGTCCTGGTGGTGGTTGTTGTGGCGTCCTGGTGGTGGTTGTTGTGGCGTCCTGGTGGGTGGT